AAACCTATAATTCAATATATTGAAAAATAGAGCCATTGCCTTTCTGAAACAGATGTAGTAGAAATAGCAATAAAGAAGAAGGGGATATTATCTCCAAATACTAACTTCAAATGCATATATTAAAACAAAATCAAGTTCTTAAAAATTTCCTTATCATATATGAAACAAAGGTTTGCAATTACTTTATACTGGACAATGAAGGGTAGTAATTCCTGAGAGAGAGGAATCAAATTTTTCAAAACCAGTGATAAAAAGAAAACCTTTTATGTAGACAGGGGAGAACAGACATGCTACATATAAGGAACAAAAAAATAAGGATGATAGCAAACTTCTTATTAGAAAAAATGGAAGGGAAAAGAGAATTGTACTTTTTAAAGTACAGTTGACCCTTTAACAACATGGGTTTGAATTGTGTGGGTCCACTTATACTTGTTTTTTTTTAGAATATAGTGCTGTAAATGTATTTTACCTTCCTTATGATTTTCTTTCTTTCTTTCTTTCTTTCTTTTTTTTTTACAATTTTTAATGTTTTTGTTTTTGAGAGACAGAGAGAGACAGAGATTGAGCAGGGGAGTGGCAGAGAGAGAGGGAGACACAGAATCCAAAGCAGGCTTCAGGCTCTGAGCTGTTGGCAGAGTGGCAGAGCTTGGTGGAGTGCTCAAACCCAGGGACATGAGATGGTGACCTGAGCCGAAGCTGGATGCTCAGTTGACTGAGACACCCAGGGTCTCCCTTATGGTTTTCTTAATAAAATTTTCTTTTTTTTAGCTTATTTTACTGTAAGAATACCATATATAATATATATAACATACAAAAGATGTGCTAGTCAACTGCTTGCTACCAGTAAGGCTCTGACTAGGCTATTAGTAGTGCAGTTTTCGAGGAGTCAAAAGTTATAGTGCATTTTGACTGTGCAGGGGGCTCAGTGCCCCTAACCCCTGCATTGTTCAAGGGTCAACTGTACTAACAGAAAAAAAAGTCAACTGAGAATTCTATACCCAGCAAAAATATCCCTCAAAACAAGGGTGAAATAAAGGCTTTTCAGACTTAGAAAAACTGAAAGAATTCATTACCAACTGGCCTATACTACAACATATGTTAAATGACATCCTTCAAACAGAGGGCAAATGGTAATAGATAGGAATGTAGATGTACACACAAAAAGAAAGGACTGAAATGGTAACTGAATGGCTTACACTATGTTTTCTTTCTTGTTACTTAAATCTCTTTAAAAGATAATTGTTTTAAATAAAATAATTGGTTAAGCAAAAACAGTAACAATGTAGGGTAGGTTTTAAAATAAAGGTGAAGGGGCGCCTGGGTGGCGCAGTCGGTTAAGCGTCCGACTTCAGCCAGGTCACGATCTCGTGGGTCCGTGAGTTCGAGCCCCGCATCAGGCTCTGGGCTGATGGCTCAGAGCCTGGAGCCTGTTTCCGATTCTGTGTCTCCCTCTCTCTCTGCCCCTCCCCCGTTCATGCTCTGTCTCTCTCTGTCCCAAAAATAATAAATAAACGTTAAAAAAAAATTTTTTTTTAAATAAAAAAATAAAATAAAGGTGAAATGTATGACAACAATAGCACAAATTTAGAAGGGAGAAGTGGAAGCATATATTGTAAAGTTTCTTATAGTATATGTGAAGTAGTATAATATTACTTAAAGGCAGACTGACAAGTTAAGGATGTATGCTATGGACCCTAAAACAAAGACTAAAGAAACAGTTACAGCTAATAACCCAACAAAACAGATAAAATGGAATCATAAAAATTATTCATTTGCTCCAAAAGAAGGTAGAGAAAGAGAAAAATGGCACAAATAGATGTGACAGATAGAAAACATACAGTGAGAAATAGATTTAACCTAATCAAACCAATACATTAAATTTAAATTAAATTAAATATAAATATCCCAATTAAAAGCCAAAGAAGTCCAGCTAGAATGAAAAAGTACAACCCAACTATGTGCTGACTATAAAAAATGCACTTCCAATACAAAAACACAAACAAGTTAAAAGCCAATGGAAGTAAAATGGCACGCCCTTTTAATAATACCAAAAAAAAAAGCTGGAGTGCCTGTATTAAATCCAAGTAGATTTGAGCTCAAAGAATATTATGACTGACAAATAAGGTTATTCCATAATGATAAAGGAGTCAATTCATTAGAAGAATATAATAATCTTCAAAATCCATGACCCCAAAACAGAACTCTGAAAAGAGTAGAAAAATCTGTTAGTCCATCAGAGATTTTCATAGTGCTCATCCAAAAACTAACAGAACAAGTAGAGAGAATGTCAGCAAGGATATAGATTTCAATAAGAGTATGAAACAACCTGACTTAACTGATATTTCTAGAACACTCCCCTCCAACAACAGGGAATACACATTTTTGCAAGTGCACATAGAGCATTTTCCAAGCTCCCACCTTAAAGAAACTAGAAAAAGGAGAGCAAATTAAACCTGAAGTATAGAACAAAGGAAACAGTAAAGCTCAGAGCAGATATCAATAGCTTACAAAGCAGAAATATAAGAAAGTCAATAAAATTAAAGCTGATTTTGAGAAAAGATAAACTGATTAAACCACAGCCAGACTGATTAAAAAAGACAGCAAAAAACCCATAAATAACCAATGAGGAATTGAGGAAATGAGTATCAGGAATGAGTCAGGTGGATCGCTACAGATTCTACAATTATTAAAAGATAATAAGAGAATATTATGAACAATGTTTTGCCAATTAATTCAACATTTTAGATGAAATACAATTCCTGAAAGACACAAACTACTAAAGGTTACTCAAAGAGAAATAAATAACTTGAATATCCTGTATCATTCAAAGAAATTGAATTTGTAATTAAAAATTTTCCCACAGAGAAAACTCTAGGCCCAGTCATTTTCACTGGTAAATTCCACCAAACATTTAAGGAAGAAATAATATATATTACGTAATTTCTTGAAAAGGAGGAATTGCTACCCAACTCATTCTACTGAGGTCAGCATTATTATGAAACCCAAATCAGGCAAAGACATTACATGAAAAAAAAAAAAATACTGATTTTCTTCATGAGCACGGATGGAAAAGCTTCTAAACAAAATTTCACAAATTAAACCCAAAAACATATTTAAAGGATAATGCATCATGAAATTTATCTCAGGAATATACATATTTGGTTTAATATATGAAAATCAATCAATGCATCCTCTATTGTAACAAACAAATAAAACAAAAACAAAAAACCATATGATCATTTCATTAGACACAGAATGTGTCTGAATCCAAAACTCATGCCTGATAAAAACTCTTAACAATGTAGAAATAGATGGAAACTTTTCTCAATCTGATAAACAGCCACTATGAAAAATCTACAGCTGACATCTACTTATTGATAAAAGACTAATTTTTTTTCCTCCTAAGATCAGGAACAAGATAAAGATATCTACTAACATAACTGTTCAACATTGTACTGGAGATTCTAGCCACCGAATGAAGCAAGAAAAAACATCCTGTTTGGAAACAAAGCAATAAAATAGTCTTAAATAAAGAAATGACATAAATATCTTTGTAGAAAATCTGATAGAAACTACAAGAAAGCCACTGGAACATCTCAGTCAGTTCAGCCAGACTCCAGGATACAAGATCAATATAGAAAAATCATTTTTTCCCCATAGACTAGTAACACGACAGAAAATTGAAGTTATAAAGTAATACCACTTGTAATCACATCCAAAACTATGATATACTTAAGGATAAATCTGACAAAAGTAGATCTGTACGTGAAAACTGTAAAACAATGCAGAAGGAAATTTTATAAGACTTTAAATGGAGAGACATACCATGTTAACAGATTAGCAAAACTCTACATAGTATAGACATCAATTTCCCCCAAATAAATATATAGATTCTATGTGAGAGCAAAATCTCAATAGCCTTCTTCATTTGGTAGAAGATGACAAACTAATTCTAAAATTCACATGGAAATACAAAGGACCTCCACCATAACCAAAACACAACTGAGAAAAAGAACAAAGTTTGAAGACTTTATTCCTCCAGTATTTTTTTTTGACAAATCCTGTGATTTCAAGGCTTATACAGCTATAGTAATCAAGGCAGTGTGGCATTCCTGTAGAGAGAAACAGATCCATGGGACTGAACAGAGTCCAGAAAGAGACCCATACATACATGGACTTTTCAACAAAACCATAAAGAAAATTGAGAGGAAATAAATAATATTTCTAGCGAATTCTGCCAACATAATTAAATAACCATATTTTGAAAATGAACTGGCATTTATGCCTTTACCATAAACAAAAGTTAATTCAATGGAACACAAACCTAAATATAAAACCTAAAACCATAATACTTCTAGGAAAAATGATATGAGAAAATCCTGGTGATCTTGGATTAGGCAAAGATCTCTTAGGCATGACTCCAAGAGCACCATCCAGAAAAGGACAAATTCATAAATTGGACTTCATAAAAATTTTAAATATCTTCAATAGCGACTATTAAGGAAATGAAAAGACAACCCAGAGGTTGGAAGAAAACACCTCCAAGTCATAAATGAGATAAAACTGCTATAAAAATAGTATATAAATAACTATCAACAATCAAGGAATAACAAAACAGACAACACAATACAAAGTTGGGGGTGGGCAAAAGATTGGAGCAAACATTTCACCAAACAGATAAGAATGAGAATTAAGTTCGTGAAAAGATGCTCCACACCATTTGTTTGTCACTAGGGAAATACACATTAACACTCAACTGAGATATCACTACACACCTATTAGAATGGTTAAAATTAAAAAGACTGACCATACCAAATGTTGGTAGGTGAGTGGGAGAACTGGAATTCTTACAAGTTGCTGGTGAGAATGTAAAATCAACCGTACATCCACTTGGAAAACAGTTCGAGAATTTCTTAGAAAGGTAAACATACAGTTACCAAACCATCCCACCACTCCACTTGTGACCCAAGGGAAATGAAAGCATGTGTCCACAAAATGACTTGTACGTGAATGTTCACAGCAAATTTATTTGTAATAAACAGCCCCAAACTGGGAACAAGCCAAAGGTCCATCAACAGGTGAACAGATAAGAAAATTATTACATCAATAAAATGGATACTGTTACTACACACTCTACCATGGATGAATGTCAAAATAATTGTTGAATGAAAGAAGCCAGACACAGAAAAAGGGCACATACTGTATGATTCCATTTATATAAACTTCTAGGAAATGTAAACAGTACGGAGATGAAGGGACCTTGGCGGATGGGGAGGGAAGGGGAATAAGGCGAGCATACAGGAGGGATCACAGAAGGGCAAGAGGAAACTTCTGGTACCACTGGATGTGATCTTGAGGGTTTCATGGCTGCATATATGTCGAGACTTATCAAACTGTAGGCTTTAGGTGAATTTTATCTATGTGAACTAAATCACAAGAAAGCTATTGTAATAAACATACAAAAACACAACCACAATAGTATAATCATATCTAAAAAGAAATTAACAATAATTCCTGAATATAATTTCATGGGAGAGTCGGTATTTATATTTTGCTATCTTATGAACTCGTATTATTAGAATTTATTATTCTGAAAGGGAATCCAAACAAGACCCAAAGACTGTAATTGGTTTTATCTCAAACAAATGAGTCAAAACTTCCCATGAGATCTTATGAGATATTAATGGTCCAATAAGAAACACTGAACAAGGGGCGCCTGGGTGGCGCAGTCGGTTAAGCGTCCGACTTCAGCCAGGTCACGATCTCGCGGTCCGTGAGTTCGAGCCCCGCGTCGGGCTCTGGGCGGATGGCTCAGAGCCTGGAGCCTGTTTCCGATTCTGTGTCTCCCTCTCTCTCTGCCCCTCCCCCATTCATGCTCTGTCTCTCTCTGTCCCAAAAATAAATAAAAAACGTTGAAAAAAAAATTAAAAAAAAAAAAAAAAAAAAAAAAGAAACACTGAACAAAAGAGTGCCAAGAATGTTTCTGGACATTCGTAACTATTGTCCGATAGCTCCATAGAATAAAAATCCAACCTAGCATCTGACAATCTATTCTGATCTGTTCATCTAAATTTCTCTACGGCATGAATTTGGTTATTCTGGATTGTCTAGAGGAATGTGTACATCAGTTTTCAAATCATTTTGAAATCATTTTGAAAAACATTTATGGAGTACCTGACAAAATATTATGCTGGTCAGCATAGGGGATACAAAGATGAACAGAACACAGTACTGCTACAGAATTAAATATTTTTTCCCTTCAAATTTGTAGGTTGAAACCCTAACCCCCAAGGTGATGGTATTAAGAGGTGTGGCCTTTGGGAGGTGACTAGTTCAGGAGGTCAGAGTTCATGAAGGGGATTAGTGCTTTATAAAAGAGACCCCACAGAGCTCCCTACTCCTTTCCACCATGTGAGGACTCAGTGAGAAGACACCGTCCATGAACCAGATACCAAATCTGCCAACGCTTTGATCTTAAACACCCCCACCTCTGGAACTGTGAAAAATAAATTTCTGCTAAGCCACCCAGATTGTGGCATTTTTGTTACAGCAGCTCGAAGGGACTAAGACAAATCTCTAGCCTCAAATAATTTAGATCTTAGAAGGGGTGGGGGAAGGAGGAGTCAATTAATGACTAGAATAGAAGGTTGAAAATTATCAGGCAGGGGCACGTGGGTGGCTCAGTCGGTTAAGCGTCCCACTTTGGCTCAGGTCATGACCTCACAGTTTGTGAGTTCGAGCCCCGCGTCGGGCTCTGGGCTGACAGCTCGGAGCCTGGAGCCTGCTTCGGATTCTGTGTCTCCCTCTCTCTATCTCCCCCTCCCCAGCTTGAGCTGTGTCTGTCTCTCTCAAAAATAAATAAATGTAAAAAAAAAAAAAAAAGAAAGAAAATTATCAGGCAAAATGAGAATCATAAACTACTCTGGAAACATAAAGAAGCAAGACATTACTTCTAACTGGAACAATACGGTAAGAATTACCTGGGGTCTGAGCTGAGTTTTAAAGCACAGATCTAATTTGGGATGAGGCAGAGGCAGGCAAAAACCTTCCAAAGAAAGAGAAAACTGTAAAGATGGGAATGTGGAAGAGGCAAGCTCAGGACTGAAAATTCAGGCAGAATTGCACTGGGTCGTGGATTAGGAATAGTTTAGATGAAGACTGCGTAAGGAGCTGGGCGCCAGACTATGCAATTTCTTGCACGACATTCTGAGGGATTTAGACTTTGTTCCAGAGGCAATGTGGCATTACTGATGGTTTTAAAGAGTGACAGCAAATAACCTGTGTTTTAGGAAGTTCCTCTCGTCAGGAGTATGGGTAAGTAGAAAGGCAAAGAGCAGAAACAGGAATGATTTCAGGAGGAGAAGATTTCACAGAGCTGAGGGGTTGCCAATGCAGGGAGAGAGTTAAGTTCCCGACTAAATTAAATGGTTAAATTTTAAGTTAGAAAAAAAAAAAAGACTTGAACATACAATTCTGAGAAAGAATTGCATTTGAAGCGATCAAAGAAAAAAATTACCATGTCTTATCAATAAAACTCACATTCAGATAAATCCACTTTCATGAATAATAATATACGTTACATGTTAACTTTTGATAGCTTTTCATTTTCTTTTTAACCCAACGCACTACCAATCACACTGTCACTTACAGAGAAGGTGGGGAACATTCTAAAATGGCACAGATTACTGTCAGCCCAAATGATATGTGTTGTGTTGTGATTCTTTTTATGAATAATGTGCACTTTATTTTTATGCCACAGCACACCACATGTTTTGGTTTTTAACAGATGGCAAACTCTTTTTATCAGGGTTTTAAACTTGCACACAGGGAACAAAAACTATTTATACGGTAAACACTTTAGCTGATCCTATCTTTGGACAAGTTTAATTAAAGAATGAGATACCAACAGCACAATCAAGCAGACTCACGGGAGGAAGCAAGAAGTTGCTTCCTTGCTGAATACATTATTTTACCCCTGCAATTTAAAGCATCCATGGAAATAAATGGCACTATGGAGTTTTATAATAAACCCCATAAGCATTTAGCTTTTTTTGTTGTTGCTGCTAGCTGTTTTCAAACCTGGTGTTAATAAAGCTTTCACACCCAAGGAGAAGGAAAGCATAACTTACTCTTTAATGAGATGCCCGGACTCGACTGCTCACATAGCCCTCCAGTAGCCTCACACCTTATACAGCGTGTAGATGCTGGTTTTCTACATACAAACACTTTCTAAAACATCCCTGGAGAATCAGTATTCTCTTGTCCCAAAGACACTGAATATGTTGGGATATTGGGAGGATCAAGCTTCAAATTCATCAAGAGCCTCTTAGAAACGGAACATAGGCACATAAACAGTATGAAACAGACTCTGGATTTGGGGATCACTTATATTTTTTATGAAATAATAAAAGGAGGGAAAGTAACAGTACCAGTGGCTCATAACCATAGAGCAGGACGCCTCCAGCAAAGCGGAATGGTCATCCAAGGACAGGAGGATCCTGCAAAAACTGCCGGAGGCCAGGCAGAATCAGCTCCGTATCTTGCCCGTGGAAGGCTTATTCAAGACCAAAGAGCAAATCGGAATTGGTAGGGCTGAGGGTACGTCTCCCGGGAAGGGACTCTCATCATACTCCAGTAATTTTCTTTTTTCTTAAATACACTTTTTTTTAATGTTTATTTATTTTTGAGAGAGAGTGTGTGAGCAGGGGAGGGGCAGAGAGAGAGAGGGAGACAGAGGATCCTAAGCTGGCTCTGTGCCGTCAGCAGGGAGCCCAACGCGGGGCTCAAACTCATTAACGGTGAGAGTGAGATCAGGACCTGGGCTGAAGTCAGACACTCAAGCGAATGAGCCACCCAGGCACCCCAAGAATTCTCTAGTTTTGATCCAGTGACTTTAACCAGTAAGAGGAATTTCGGTGCCTATGAAGAAAATGTTCGTGGAAAGAAAGGAAGAACTGATGACTACTTTAAAGGCTGACGCAGGCTGAACAACACTCATGTTCCCACATTTCCTCTCATGTTATTATGGGCCTCAGTCTCCCAACACCACATTCAGCCACATGCTTTAAAAACAAAACAGATCGAGGGGCGCCTGGGTGGCTCAGTCGGTTCAGCGGCCAACTTCAGCTCAGGTCACGATCTCACCGACTGTGAGTTCGAGCCCCGCGTCAGGCTCTGGGCTGATGGCTTAGAGCCTGGAGCCTGCTTGCGGTTCTGTGTCTCCCTCTCTCTCTCTCCCTCCCCCGTTCATGCTCTGTCTCTCTCTGTCTCAAAAATAAATAAACGTTAAAAAAAAAAATTAAAAAAAAATAAAAAACAGATCGAACCAAAAGTTCAGTCTACGATGACTGACCAAGAGGGTGGGGGAGAAACCGTGTATTTCCATTACTTTAGTGCCTGTGTACTAAGTATGTCTGACCCTGTTAACCTAAGAGCCAATTTAAAACATTCCTCATTTTTAATTTCTTACTAACGAGTCTCTTCACTCATGTTTTATAATCACAGGGAAATACTCCAGGAAGTGCATGGCTGAGCTATTATCATACTTCTCAGGGGGTAAAAGCCAGTCTGCCTCTGGCCTCCTTCCTCACCCCACACAGAGGTGTGCGGTTAATGGCACAACAACAAATGCCCTGCTGGGTCCTATACCGCTCTGCCTGAGACTGTCTTCAAGTGCCATGGAAAAATAGACTGCAGAGAAATGCACACGGGGTTCATGGCAGCAGTTATAAAGCAAGATGCGGTATGAATCAAAGTGACGAGGCACAGGAATAAAAAGCTCACCCAAGTTCATTGGTTTTATGTTGAAGGTATAATTTGGAATCAATGCTACTTCCACCCCACGACTAGCTGAATGACGTTACTAATGACATCACTAATATGGTGGTATAAATGCACAAAGGAGTCAGTGATCCTTGGGGAAGAGGAGCCAAATTTCAGTGATGCATAAAAATCAAGGTCATTACCTGAAACACACCTTTATCAAACCTTGCCTTTTGTGTAAAGCATATCAATTAAAGGCATCTTGCTGTATAGATTTCATCCACGGTTATTTCAAGTTTAGAGTGTTTCATACAACCTGAAGAGAGTTGGTATTATAATCATGGTAGCTAACCAGCCTTGAAGGCTTCAGATGAGTATATACACACACATACACACATATATACACATTCCTAGAAGTAGGTCCTAATAAATCTTCACATGGACCAGGAAAGGAACAAATAGGAGAAGGTAGCATTAATGGTATTGACAAATTAAAGGAGAGAAAGTGTAAAAACCAATGGATATTAGAAAAAACAAATCATGACAATTTTCCTAAAAGTGATAGTGTCAAAGGTTTCCAGAAAAGACTCTAACAAATTTAAACTGTTTTACAGACAGCACCCCCATGATACCCTAGCAGAACTGCTCTTGCAGAAAGATGAGTGAACTGTGCACAGAAACACCTAGGAGCTGTTTTCCACATCAACACCTCATGTCTTTCATTCAAAAATAATTAAGTATCTGAATTCACAGGTCTACACAAAGAGAATTCTATGGATATAAGCCTGATTTGCTACTTGAGGACTAGCTCACACATCTTCCCCCCCAGGAAGACTTCAGCTCCCTGCCCACCCCCCGCCCCCCTCCTCCCGCCCCCTGGCTGTGAGTTATTCTGTTCTCCGGGCTCCCTCAGCATTTTGCCCATAACCTCTACCTCCTTCTATTCTAGTGGTTTATTTGCTCTGTTTTCAGGGCATTCCACAGAGCATGGCAAACAAAGGAAGTGGAAATATTTGTTAAATTAATAAGGCATCCTCTTAGCTAGAAGGTGTTGTCCCTTTACTCAGTTCCCATGTACATTCTTGAAGTAGAGTCAATGCTCAAGGGGACCCGGCAAAAGAGGATACACCTTCACCCGGCACAAATGAACCTCCTGTACAAGAAAAGGGTAGAAATACATACAATTCCTCCTCTCTCTACCCACACATGCGGGCTTCTTAAAAATTAGCACAAAGGCAAAAATCACTGTGTTTTCTGATTCTACCATAGCCAAGTGAACAAATGTACTTGAAATGGGTTTAGAATTTGCAACACAAGTTGCTGCTTCTAACCCATACATGATGAGGGTTAAATTAATTGGCTCTAACAGTTAAGCAGCAAAAAGGCCAAAGAGAACAGTTTCTGTCCCTGGCTTCTGTAGATGGGCGCAGATAGACAACAGGAGAGACAGGATCATTGATAACAACCATGTTCTTCGATAGGTGAAGTTTGAGCATGTGCAGACGGCAGGTAAGAATTCATTAACATTATTCTCTTGCAATACTGGCTCAAGTGTGTGAGGTTTAGCAAAGGAATGGACTTGTGCGAGATGAGAGGAGTGTGCAGATGAGACAGACCAGGGCCCCAAAGGGCCCACGACCAGATTCAGAAGCCTCCCCAGCCCAGTTCAGTATCCTACCAACACCACGATAAGGAAGTGGTCTGTTTTTCTCAGATTCACACACAGTTAGGTTTGCTCACCATTTGTGACTCATATACTTATTGTTAAGACAGCCGTTTAATAAACTTACAATGGCCCTTTCCCTAGTACAGGTTCAGCTCACGGTCCAGTGTTGCTGACATCCCTGCACTGGTCCGACGCCCTGTAGCTGTCGTCTGGACCAGCACCTTAGCTGGGCAGGGCTAGCGATGGGGCCCTGGGCTGCGTGCCAGTGCCTCTGGAGGAATCCAATGCTTCCCCTCTACGTGGAAATCCTTCTGTCAGCAAACGTGTTCCTGCTCCCGGGACTTGTTGCCTGTTCCTGATGCCCTGTGATAAGGGCTTCGACCTGTTTCTGAGATATACCTGCCTGCTGCCTGGCCTCCCGGACGCCACCTGCTGCTTGCACCTAATTTTCTGTCCCACCCTTGAGTGCCTGTCTGACCTCAGGCTCCAGCCACTCTCCACCCGGCTCTAAGCCACCTGCTGATCACACTCAGCAATAGCAAAGGACCTTAGGAGCTAAGTAGACGACGAGTGGGAAGAAGCAGCATTCTGGCACAGGAAAAAAACACGACTGCCGGGCTAAGGTGTTAGGAATAAGTAAGGAGTCTGGCTTCCGGGGCAGAATGTAATAAAATCGCCTGAACTGAAACAGAGAGGATCTGATTTATTTTCACTATTATTAATACTTTCTACTGTCAACACATATTTGATTTTGAAATGAAAAACATATAAACATACGGCAAGAATTACTGCTGTAAATGCCGGTACCATCAACCATTACATCAGAAGAATAAAAAAAATGCTGTGGAGAAGAGCTCTGTAATCAGACTGAGGTAATTTTCCGTAATGCATTTTCCAAACTAATGCGCTCTCCAATTTGAAGCCTTGTTTAAGTAAATGAATGTATTTGACTACTGACAGCACTTTTTATGACAGCACTGTCTTTTTATGACAGTTCTTGAAAGCTTAATTTTAAGCTAGCCTGAGCATATGTGGCTAATATGTTCATCTTTAATTTGCCTCGGCGTACAAATAGACCATGTGTTTTTTTTTTTTTTTAATTTTTTTTTTCAACGTTTATTTATTTTTGGGACAGAGAGAGACAGAGCATGAACGGGGGAGGGGCAGAGAGAGAGGGAGACACAGAATCGGAAACAGGCTCCAGGCTCCGAGCCATCAGCCCAGAGCCCGACGCGGGGCTCGAACTCACGGAGCGCGAGATCGTGACCTGGCTGAAGTGGGACGCTTAACCGACTGCGCCACCCAGACGCCCCTAGACCATGTGTTAATACACAATAAAGTGGATCACTCTGATTTGAAGACAGGGTCATACTTCCCATCAGTCAAAAGAAAATTTAGACCCAGATGATAATTTTCAAACGCACTAATATCCGGGTTTTTTCCTTGATAGACCTATTGTGCTCCCTTGCTCATGTTGTCACAACCGCGGCAGAAATCAGCTTTGTAAGCTGGCGAGTGCTCAACGGAAAGCATGAGAATGGGATTTTACAGATAACGAAGAACTTGCCATTATTGTCCTGCGGTGCATCTGACTGAAGATTCATTCCGGTGTAAACAGGTGCCCTGAATTATCCCTGGTACCAGAGTTTGGCTGAAATCATGAAGTGAAAAATAAAAACAAAGCAAATGTGTATTTCAACACAGCTAAAACCTCTACTGCACTTGCTGAGACTGGTAATATATGCTGAGCTCATTTAAAATCACCAAAAGTGCTGTAATTAAACTTCTCTCTAAATCAGACTTGTAGAAGAGTCAGAAATCTCCTATAATTAACTTATCTGTGGAAGTAATCAGACAATAACTGCTGGTGTATTTTAGGAACCACTAAAACTACAGTAGCTGTTGAATGTAATGATTATAATAAATCTTTAACAGCAGGTTCCCTCACAACCCCTTCTCACAGCTGCAAGGGTGGGAGGGAGACTTTTCCCCAAGCATTTCCTGGAGTTGGTTTAAGTGTGCTATTGCTACACGGCTCTTCGATGATACGGGAAGATTGCTAAGGCATCATGGTACGGCCTGAATGGAACCACCAGTCGGCGCTACCCCTAGGTGGGCTGTTGGTACTAACAATAAGAACAGATAGCGTGTTAGGTTCTGCTAAAGACAATGGACCAAAGCACCTCCAAAAAGCAGCTGAAAGACAGAAGACCTAGGGTACCTGGGTGGCTCAGCCAGTTAAGCGTCCAACTCTCGATCTC